GGTTGCCCAGAGAAGCTGTGGCTGCCCCCTCCCTGGCAGGGTTCCAGGCCAGGCTGGACCGGGCTCTGAGCACCCTGGGCTGGTGGAAGGGGTCCGTGCTCACTGCGGGGGGTTGGACTGGATGACCTTTAAAGTTCCCTTCAACCCAAATCATTCTGTGATTCTCTGATTCTATTCTATGATTTCTGGTCGTTTTACTGATCCAGGTTAGACCCTGGCCCACACGTTGGTGGAGCAGCAGCTGGTGTGGGAGTGACTGGGCAGCAGGAAGGGCTGGAGCTGCTTAAACCACCTTTGCCCCCAGCATAATTTTAACCCAGGACGATGCTCCTTCTCAGTGGGTGTTGATGCCAGCCACAGCCCCTGAGGCAGGGGCACAGGGGAGGGAGAGCGGACGATGCTGGAGCTGCCGGGAGAGATCATGTCAAGACAAACCGTTGTCTCAATGAGTTTACATCCCAAGGGTGCGGATATGAGCACATTAACCCGTGACCAGTCCAGCTGGCTTCCTGGCACAGTTATCCCTGGATAGATGATGGGTAATTTTCTCTCCCGTGCAATTTTTTTTCCGGGTTGATTCCTTCAGCTTTGCTGCTTCATATATCTGTAGCCTGAGGCAAGAGAGCAGGGGAGATGCAATTAGAGGAAGTGGAGTGCAACAGCGGGTCTGAGTGCTGCAGATTTCTTGTGTGTCTGTTGCTGTTAAAGGATGTAACTGTGTTGCTTGGGGTTTTTTTTCCTTCATATAGCTTGGGGTTTTTTTAAAGCCTCCATTTCAAAAATCCTTTTCGCAGTGTGGCTCTGCCTGTATTTACATCAGCTCAGGTGAAGGGTTGGTAAACGGGCAGGGAGCAGGAGCAAATGGCCAGGACCAGGGAGGATGGGAACCCCTTGTCGGGCTTTCGAAGAGCATCTATTGTGCAGCTGCGTCAGAAGGTTATTGCTGGTAACATGCATTTGCCAGGGGCCCTTCTCCCACTACACACAGTAAATAGCCTGATGTAGCAGCTCTGGGCTTGGTTTCATTTTTTTTTCCTTTGTTTCTTTAATTTATTGCATTTGGTTTGCAAAATGACCCATAGAAAAAAAGCCAGATTAAGGCTGTCCGTACACCGCTGTAATACAATATGCTTAACAAAAAAAAGAGAGAATATTTCAGTGCACAATGTTCAAATCCTCCCCCGCTGTTGTTGTTTTTCCTCTGAGATGCTGTCTGGGTGAGGATGCTTCATTAGGATGATAAGATGTGAGCGATGGGTAGTCTTGAGTGGCTGAGGAGGGGTAGAAATGCCATCCTTCTATTCAGCAGCTCCCTGCTTTGTGTTCATTTTGCTTCTCACAGATTTCGCTTCAGGGATTAACAAATACTTGCAAGAAAAGATCTTTGTGTCAGCTTAATTGCATGTACGGTCTCATGCATGCACTCTGCGGTTAGAAGCAAACGGTGCCTGTACGCATCTTTCCCCTGTTTTATCTGGTGTTTTGCTATAGGAGCAGGGGAAGGGAAGGCTTGAGATCTGGAGACAATGTTTTAATCACAAAAAAAAAATCAAAAGCTTTGAATTTAAAGCCTCTTGGAACCCCTTCCAGCATTAGAAGTAAGCCAGAAGGGTCAGAAACCTGATTATGTTTCACCGTAGGTGCATGGTGGCATGAAAGCATAAATTAACTCTGCGCTTCCTCTCTCTCTCTCGCAGCAATGCATGGCTGTTTTGATGCTGTGGAGCTACTCCTGGAGCGGTAAGCGGGCTTCCTCCCGACACTGCCTCTGCCTCCCCGCTCTCCCCCGCCTCCCGTCCACAGCCAGGCTCGCTCCAGCCGCCCGGACACAAAGGGCATTTGTGCCGTTCGGGAAGCCCAGCTGCTCCGCATGCGATCCCGAAGCCGTCTCCCGTTTCCTCCGGGTTTTTCACGGCCGGTGAGGGGCCTTTGAGACAAGGATGGGCTCTGATGGGCTCTGACTTCGCGATGACATAAGCCCAGGTTATATAACTCTGCTCTTTTTCTGTGCTGATTCATTCCCGTTGCCTCTGATGTGTCCGAGGCCGTACGATAACAACAAAACAATTTTCTGACAGCTCGGTTCTGGCTGCAGCTCCTCTAGGCTGGACTTAGCCTCCAGGCTTTATTTTCAAGCTGCGGCTCCCGGGAGACTGCTGTGAAGTGGCTTTAAATCAGCCTTTGCCCAGTCGTTCTGACCCTGTTACCTTCCTAACCAGCACTGCCCGCTGCCAGAGCTGGAGCAGCTTTGCCCGGGCATCGCAGCCGCTGCTCGCCACACCTCCTGTCAGGCGACTCATCCCAGCCTTGTTAATTCCTGCTTGGCCCAGCATAAACATAGCCCTGTGATTCGAGCCAGGCTTTCAATTTTAATTCAGTCTTCTCTCGTTTCAATGGAGCTTTAACCTGAGCGAGACCTGCGGGCTTTGATTTTGCACAATGGCGTTGTTACGTGGGGATATGGTTTTCCCCTCTGCCAGAGCACACCTTACCTTCCAGAGGTCCTCTGTTCGGGGAGGAAGGGAAATAAATATGAATGATGTACAGATCCCTGGCTTTTGTGCAGCCGAGCAAGCCGTGCCAGCTGACTACCAGGTCTCTGACCCAAAAAACCCCAGCAGACCATACCCCAGGGCATGAAGCACCGAGACAGGTTTCTGCATGGTCTGTGGACAGGCTTTATATATGCCATGTCCAGTCCCATCTTTCAGGGATTCTTTGAGGCCTGCTTGCTCGGGCATCACATCCGCTGGTAGTCTCCTGCCCCACCAGTGCAAAGCAACTGGTGCAGTAAGGGTTTTAGAGCTGCCCACAACTCTGTCCTGGATTTTGTCTTCCCTGCCAGGTGCCAATACAAACCTGACAGCAGAGACAAATGTGGAGTCACTCCCTTTATGGATGCTATCCAGAACGGGCACGTCGACATTGCCCGGCTGCTCCTGGAAAAACACCAGGTAGGTGCCAAAAACCTCACCTCCCTCCTTCAGGACCTGACTTAGAACTGCCGGGACAGGCAGTCCACGCGCTCACCATAACCATATTGTAAAGAAGCAAATTCCCAAATTGTAAAGAAGCAAATTCTGAAAGAAGGCAAATTGCCCCTGGAGATGAGCAAGATTTTGCTGCGTAAGGCCACCAGGACTCAGCTCATGGTGAATATCTCACCCTGGGGCAGGGATATGTCCCCATAGCTGGTGAAGGGGGATGGAGACACGAGGCAGTGGCAGGAGGGGACAGGACTTGCCCGGTGCTGCAGGGGCAGCTGTGTCAAAGCCAAGGCTGGAGCTCAGCGTGGAGGCTCTCGTGGCAGCGCTGAGGGTGGGTAACATGGAGGCGTCTGGACTCGCTGGCAGCAGGTCGCCTCCCTCTCCCGTGCTGTCTCTCGGTAATCTCCGATTTCCTCCAGCGTACAAGGCGGAGCAGGGATGTCATTAGAGCCAATTACGCGTAGCGGGAACCAGACCACTGCATTATTTATTGACTGCTGAATTGATGTGAGATGATTGGAGCCCACCTAACAGCTGGTTCTCATGGAGGTGGGGTTGTGCCTCCCTTCTCACCTCCTTTGCCCTCACTTGGCCTGCCCCCTGCACCAGCTCTGGTGTTGGTTGGACACCGTGCTGAACTGGTGCAGCTCGCTGGCCTGGCAGAAAGCCACCATGGCAATACCAGTGAATCTGTGCCATGCTGGCAGGTTGAATTGGCCAGCTGAGCCCCAGCACGGCACGGAGTGGGCCAGGGAACATGGTACCATGCTTTTGAAGACTGCAAGCTTTGGATTTACTCAGCCGTAACGCGTAGCCTCACCCAGCAGAGACGGTTTGATGCCCAGGTGGTGCTGAAGTGTGTTACTACACAAGACGTTCACGTGCTTGTCTTTGTTCATCTGGCCCTTGCAGGATAAAACATTTGTGATGTTTGCCTACGTTTTCAGTCTCACATTTCAGGCGATGAAGACGGTGTAGTTGATTTAATTTCCTCGTTGTGGTGCTCTGGCTTACTGCCATGGAGCAGCGCTGGAAACGCTAACGGCAGTGTTGCTGCCTTCTAGGTTTTATAAAACCATGAGTCAGGCCCACCAGACCTCAAGAGGCTGGATGATATCCTTGAAGATGGGTGCACTGTGTATTACTTCTGTTACCCTTCTGGATTTTATGTCTTTGCGGTTCACGTTCAGAGACTCGCAGAGGAGATCTCATGAGGTCATCCACCCATCTCCCTCCCTCTGCCTGCATCCAAGTTCTTCTCCACCAGTACAAAGGTTGGAGATGGGTTGTTTCTTGCTGCTTTAGAGAATTGGAACCCATCGTATGTGCTTCAGCTGAAGAGAGAGGGAGCTTGGTGGTTCTTTTTTGGCACGGGTTTTGCTTATCACTTAAGCTCAGGAAAGAGCTGGCGTTGGTCTGCAAATTGCAGTGCACCAGTCCTGCTGGAGACATCCCACGTGTTCATTGCCATGGCCAGCAGACATGATTCTGCTTGGGCTGGTGATTGTCCTTGAAGGATCAGCCAGGCTGTTCATTGCTTTCCCTTCTCCTCCTCCCCCATTCCAGGCCTGTCCTACAGCCGAGGACGCGCTGGGCGCTCAACCTCTGCACCGGGCAGCCGTCACGGCCCAGGATGAAGCCATCCAGTTCCTTGTCTACGAGTTGGGTGTTGATGTCAACGAGAGAGCGACGACCCTCCAGCTCACAGCGCTACACTACGCAGCCAAGGTTTGTCCGGGCTCCCAGGCTCCCTCCTCAAAGTCTCTGCTAGTTGGTGTGCCACAGGCAGGCATCTAAAACAGGTTGGTTTCGTTGTTCGCCACTGGTGGAGGATTTCCATTCCTAGCTCATCCTCTGTCTGTCTGCTCCTGACCAGTCCCATACCCTGTTTAATGGATTTTAGACCCTCATTAGGTGTGTCCAGCTGTCTGCAGAGTGGCAGTGGGTATCCAGGTCGCTCTGTTCACCACCCTCCTGCCCACACTGCTGGCTGCGCTGCGGGTTAGTAAGCCCTCGGGTTAGTAAACCCTCCTGCCTGGCACATGGGTGTGCAGGAGCAGAATTGGGTGGCGATGGGGCTTAGCTCGTTTGTCACTCGTCCAGTTGGCCGTGCTCTGGATAGGGCTTGAACCACACCTCTGGTGAGCGTTACTCTTCCAGTCTGCTGCCTTTGGACTGAAGTGCAACACCTGGAGCGAGTCCAGCGGAGGGCTACAAAGATGATGAGGGGACTGGAGCATCTCTCCTCCGAGGAGAGGCTGAGGGAGCTGGGCTTGTTCAGCCTGGAGAAGAGAAGGGTGAGAGGGGGCCTTAGAAATGCTTCTAAATATCTGCAGGGTGGGTGTCAGGAGGACGGGGCCAGACTCTTTCCAGTGGTGCCCAGCGACAGGACAAGGGGCAATGGGCACAAACCGAAGCAGAGGAAGTTCCCCGCTGGGCAAGGTCCTGGGCAGCCTGCTCTGGGTGACCCTGCTTCGGCAGCAGGGTTGGACTAGATGACCCACAGAGGTCCCTTCCAACCCTGAACATTCTGTGAAGGGAGTCCACCCTGCTAGTTATTGGGAGCTGTAGGTACCAACACTTCATGAGCTGTGACAGTTCTTCACCAGCATCTTCTCACTCGCCTGACAGAGGAGATGCAAATGAAATGCTGCTCTGATTTCTTTCTGTGTCTTTCTTCAGCTTTAGTGGTTTGAGTCCCAGCAGGTGAGTGGCCAGTCTCCGTGTCAGCAGCTTGCTGGACAGAAAGCAGCTGATGTGCTGTCAAACAGCAACAGTTTGTCCCAGCAGGCCGGATTCTGGCCTGCCCATGGTCAGACGTGAGAAAGGAGAGGTGGAAAGGCGGAGGGAGCTCCTGGGCGCTTATCTGTGTCCTTCACACAGGAGCTGTTTTGAATTCCAGGTGGTGAGAGTCGTTGGAGCTTTCTCCTCCTCCCATCTCGTGCTTGTACAGGAAGCGGGGGCCTGGTGGGCTGTGAGTCCTTCAACGCTCCCTGGAAGCGCAGAGCAGATCCCGAAAGCTTCACCGCTGACCGGGATCTCTCCTGGGATCCTGCTGCCTCCCTCCCTTCTGCTTGGTGCCGTCGCTCCATCGTGTGCACCGTGCTGGCAGCTGGTGGCAGGGGAAGGTCCCTGCTCAGATCCCTGCGTGTTAAACCTCATGAGCTTTAACATGCAGCACTCGGAGCCCGGTCTAGACTTGTAGTGGGAACGGAGCAGCATCTCAGCGCCCGACTCCTACAAAAGCATCAATGACGCTTACGGGGAGTGCTGGCAGCAGTATTCTCCTCCAGCAGGACCCAGCCGTGGCATTTGCTGGCTCCCACAAAGGAGGTCTTTCTCCCAGCTTCCCTTCCTCATGCTCTGTCTGAGAAACCATGTTGAAAGCCCTTTTGGTTGCCAAGGGTACGTTTAACAGCAAGGCTATTGGGGAGTATAATGTGCCTTGGAGAAGATCCCAGCTCTGTCTTGGCGAGTGGCTGATTGGGGAGCGATTTGTTGGGTTTCTCTTCCTTCCCGAGGCTCAGTGTCACTTTATATTTACAGCAGCATTTGTTTGGCTGGTGGGTTTTTTTTTTCCTTCTGTTCTTATTACTTTGCATTTATAAATACATGAAAATCAAATTATGCTTTCGACTCAATTTGCTGCCAAGGCAGTGGCAGCTAAAGCAGTTCCTGGCTTGCTGTATTTGCCGCTGAGAGGGGGTGTGCATGCGGTGGGGAAATGGGAGCCTTGAGCAGGGGGGAAGATGCTACCGAGTCGTACGATAATGGGGGAAAAGAGTGGGTGGCGGGGATAAAAATAAGGGCTCATGCCGCACGACAGAGACTTAATTCATTGCATTGAAGAAGTAATTACCAAATCAGGCTTGTTATTTAGGGAGAGAGGATTTATTTATGGAGAAGCTTGTGCAGAGAGGAGGGGGGTGGGGGCTGGGCTGCATTTTCCCATGCGGCGTTTAAAATTGGCTACCGGCAGAGGAAAGACAGAGGACACTGTGGGTCGTGACGGTGTGTGAGCGTGGCGTTCTGCGCCGTCTGACGGGGCATTACAAATACCAGAGTAAACCTTTAGGAAATGCTGGTGCCTGAGGGTACCGCAGACAGACATGCAGCAGTCCACATGAGCAACAGGTTCCGCTCTCTGAGCTGAAACACACCTCGGTAAGAGCAACTCTAGAGCCCTGGGGTAGCTGAAGTGGATTTACAGCGTGGGAAGACACACAGCTTCTTGCTGACATTTAGCTGGGAGACGATCCTCCAAATTCCTCGTGCCTCAGGGTCCCGGCTGCGCAAGGTGGATCTGTTGACCGCGATGAGGAAGATCGTATGGGATCCACAGCTGTCTAAAAGCAGATCCACCAACATGGATCTGGGCTGGGTTGTGTGTCCATCATGCCTGCCCTGCCAAGGCACCGCTCTCAGTCGTTGACTGCACCACCACACCTCTACGCTGTCGCGTGATTTTAAGTGCTATTGGTCTTCACTGAGCATTTTTTGTTTTTAAAACATGGTCTTTGATGTTCGCAGAGAGAATTGTGTTCCTGGGATGCCTCTGGCTGCCTTTTCAGCCTCTGGGTCGAAATTGCTGCCAGGGGCAGACGAGGCGAGCAGACACGCTGACCGAGGGCCAAGCGCCGACTCCTCTCATGGGCTGCCAGCACAAGGGCTGGAGAAGGTGCCCGGTGGCGTCTCTCTGGCCGGTTCCCGTGGGGTAACAGCAGTGTGTCTGCTGTGCCTGGGCACTGCCTGGCTAAGGGCCCCGATCTGCACTGCCACAGGCAGCTGACCCTGATTTCCAGCTGCTGTAAGGTCCTCCAGAGCCTGGAGCAGCTCCTGGTCGTCCCAGATTTGACCAGGAAGTGTATCTGCATCTGTGCCCTTCCAGGTGCTGTATGCCTTTAGGGACAGAAAGCTTGCAGCCTCTTTTCTTTTCAGGCCCGTGTTATTTCTGCTACATGCAAAGGTGAAATATCGTGCAGCGCTGGTTCTGAATAAATAATCCACGTGTCTGTGCTCACCACTGCAGGAAGGACACGGGCGCACCATCCAGACGCTGCTGTCCCTCGGCGCCGATGTCCACGCAAAGGATGGGAAGAGCCGTTCTGGTAAGGCTACTGAGCTATTTGTTCTGCCCTCTGTATGACAGCGAGAGCGCGCTTTAGTAACAGGAGCCCAGCCTCTACAGCAGCCTGCGCTGCGTCCGCTCAGCGGAGCGTGCAAGATGATGCCAGATGCACGTATGCAAATGGCTCTTGGAGCAGCGCGACGTGTGGGGTTTTTTTTTTTTGCAGGTTTTTTTTGCAGCTTTCATTCACTGGCTCTCTTTCTGCTGGACTTTCTGATGTCTGATGGCGTGGTTGAGCCTGCAGTGGGGCCTTTCCCTTGGGGGAAGAACAGAGATGCTAATTGGTGTTTCTCTTTACCCAGCTGCTTATTTTGCATGCAACTTTAATGAGCTTAGTATCTTTGATACCGCCACCTCACCATCAAATTTGGTTGAAATCAGCCAATTTGAAACGGCTAGGGTGGGCGGGCAAATACAATGATTGCACAAGCACTTAAGCCTCAACTCCTTAGCAGACGGCCTAGGAATGGCTTATGAGCAAATAAGAACAGAGCTTGAACGTAAATATAGTCTCTATAGTGATGCCAGCGAGTTGGCATTCCCAGCGTGAGAGTCTGAGGCATCTCTTGTATCAGCATCTCTCTCTCTCAGAAAAAAAAGTATATATAGATGGTTTCAGCCATTGCCAAAATTGGCAACTTACCCATTTTTCAGGTTTGCTTAATAACACGCTTCAGCGGCGCCATGAACGGTCTTGTATCTCTCGATCTCTCCCTCCACCCCCTCAGTGAGTACATCTGAGCTCTGCTGAACTCGTCCAACCCTGGGACGTTTGTGGTGGCTCCTTGTCCCCGTCGGCTGCCCCGTTCCCCGGCTGCGTTATTGTCAGCGTGTCCTGGGGAGCTTCTTACCCAGACTCTGCTCCTGCACAGTGCCCTGTGTGGATTATCCCTGGGGATCAGGATAGCCCATCATCAACATCAGCCTGCAGCAGGAGCTAACGACCCTCAGCGTAAAAGTTACTCGCCCCTGTGCAGGATTAGGCCAGGAAAAGCCGGCTGGCTCACCCTGCTACACAAGCCGAGCGTAACGGGACTGCCTAACAGTGCTGGAGCCACGCTGCATCAGCGTGCCGGCTGTTGGAGGGGTCTGCGGGACGAGCTCAGGCTTGGGCTGGAGTATTTCAGCCTCCTCCTGTAGGATGCTCTTGGCTGCATGCAGCGTGTGGAGACCTTTCCGATTTAGTCCCTGACTGTAGAGTGAGCTGGCAGGGAGCCCCAGCCCATCACAGAATGGTCAGGGTTGGAAGGGACCTCTGTGGGTCACCCAGTCCAACCCCCTGCCCAAGCAGGGTCACCCAGAGCAGGCTGCACAGCACCGCGTCCAGGCGAGTCTGGAATATCTCCAGAGAAGGAGACTCCACAACCTCCCTGGGCAGCCTGCGCCAGGCTCACACCTCACACGCTTCTTTGTACAGTGGCAAGAATCACTTTTTCTCCATTGTTACAGAAAAGTTATGAAAGACAGAACTGTCATAGTTTTAGCTCCTCATCTTTCTTGAACTGGGGAGCCCAGAACTGGACACAGCACTGCAGATGGGGCCTCACTAGGGCAGAGTAGAGGGGGAATAAAGGACCCCAGTCACATCCAGAGTAGTTTCAAGCCCCTCTCTTGCATGGCATTATTAAATCCACCCCAAGTGTGGAGCAGTAAGACGCATGGAGGCCGCCTGCTCTGCCCGCTTTGTCCCAGAGCCTCTCCCTCCTGCCGTGGGCACCCTCTGCCCATGACTCGGTCAAAAAGAGCCAAGTTGGCTTAGATACTTCCAATATGTTTGCAAATCTGGTTAGCTTTGGCTCAGCCACGTTAGTACTGCTTGATGGATTGGAGGGACTAGGAACCTCCAAGGCGAAGATGGGGGTAAGAGCTGGGGTGAGCCAGGATGGCTGGGTGTGGAAGAGATCGCATCCCCTTGTGCAGGTTTAGTCACAGAATCACTGAATGCTTTGGTTGGAAGGGACCTTTAGAGGCCACCTAGCCCAACCCCCTGCAGTGAGCAGGGACATCCTCAGCTGGATCAGGTCACTCAGAGCCCTGTCCAACCTGGCCTTGAACCTTTCCAGGGATGGGGCAGCGACCACCTCTGTGGGCAACCCGTTCTAGTGTTTCACCACCCTCATGGTAAAAAATTGCTTCCTTACATCCAGTCTAAATCCCCTCTTTTAGTTTCAAGACATTACCCCTTGTCCTGTCGCAACAGGCCTTGCTAAAAAGATTGTCCCCAGCTTTGCTATAGGCCCCTTCAGGTACTGGCAGGCTGCAGTAATGGGCCGTCATCCCATCGCTGCTGTGGATACGCACGCCCACAGCAGCTGAGCCCCGCTGCGCCATCCCATGGCTGCTTGGCTGGGTGTTGCAACTGGGAAAAATCATTTTTCACCCTCGATGCGTTTTCTCTGCTGGCTCTGTTTCCTTCTCTGGGAATCCAGAGTTCACATCTGAAGTGGGCTGAGGCCGAAATCACCCAGCAATCTCAGCTCCCGCCTTGACATCTTGTCTCCCCCACAGCCCTGCAAGCTGCGTGCGCTGGGCAGCAGGCAGACGCCGCACGGATCCTGCTCCACGCCGGGCTGCGGGATGCCCCGGATGCCACGGGCACGCTGGCACGGCAGCTCGCCAGGGAGCCAGACGTCGTCCAGGTTTTCCAGGAAACAAATGGCAGCGCGTGAGACCAACTGGGAAAAAAAAAGAAACACGTTTCGTTTCAGCGTGGTACGTTAGTTACCGCTTATCAACTGTTCAGATTTAGGCAAACACCTGTTTAAAATGATGGGATTTTTGCCCAAGGATTGAGCAGAGAAACCAAGCTTGACACTTGGGAAATACGTTGAGGAGAAAACACACTTTAAATAGAATTATCTCGATAATAATGGACATGAAAAGCATGTTTTAAATAGGATTATCTCAAAAAGATAATGGATGTAGTGGGTCTGGGCTGTCACATTGTGGTACTGATCCCATCCTTGTAAATTCATGGCTGCTCCTCTTCCGCTTCCAAATTTCAGGGCTGAACTTCTCTTCTTGTGCAGCACCCAGCACGGCCAAGCAGCTGAGGCTGCAGCTCCCTGAAGTATCGCCATCCGAGGATGGTGCCCCATGGGCCGCTGCTGGATGACCTCTGGGGACCTGCCTGGCTCTTGCTGGGATGTTTCCCTCCAGTGGACATCCTGAAGGAGAAGATGCATCTGGATCATTGATTTTTACCGCCCTGAATGGACCTGCTCCCCACTAATCCCTTAAATCGCTTTAAGTGGCCACCTCTTTCGGTAGCCCCTGAGAGAGGCCAAGCACAGTGCAGCGTAAGTGAGCCCTTGGTGACTCTTCCTTCACCACATTTGAGCTGCGGAGGACAAGTGCAGCGAGTCTTCAAGCTGCGTCAACCTCTTACGTCCTTTTTACGGCCCGAGCCTGATCCCAAGGGCTGCCGAAACCGATACAAAGACCTCAACCTTGCAGTGACATCGAGGGTCTTTGGATCAGACTGAAAGAGAGGTACTTGTTATTCCGGACAGCCTTGCTTGGCACTTCTCACCAGTGATGAACTTTACACTTCAAAGAGCAGGATTTTTTTTTTTATTTTTAATAGGAAATTGCTTAATATTTAATGTAGCCAGTAAGTCTGTAGCAGCCTGGAATACAGATAAAGGTAAGAGCTGCTGTAGCCTTTTGGTTTATTTGTATGCATCTGGAATTACGAATTTGGTTTTCATAGAAACGTGGCACGCCCCTGTCTATATGTAATGTCAAGGCGTGAAAAACAACGGGATTCTGCGGTTTTGGTGTAGCAGATACTAAAAATCAGGCCTGTAACTGAGCGAGCCAGTTAGGTTTTGCTCAGCCCAAGCTGTGGTGTGATCACGTCGTGGTTTGACGCACGACCCACGCGCCCCTGGGCAGGTTTAAGACGATGCTGAGCTCTGAGAAATTCCCACCCCGTGGTCCCCGGAGCAGAATTTGCTGTGACGATGCTAAGCCAGACGACAACAGTGCCGTGCATCTCTCAAGTGAAGCGTCCTTTACGGCAGGGTTAGGGCCTCCTCCCCTCTGCCGGCTCTCGTTTCACAAGGAGAGTCAGCTCGCAAAAGGAATGTGGGGAGGCTGTGAGGGGGAGCCGATAGCTTGCAGGAGGGGCTCAGTAGCATCTTAAGACTCTTCCAAAGATGCCTGCAAAGACCTGTTTTTTGCCAGTCTTCCCCTGTCTTGTTTCTCCATCTGTGAAGGAGATTCTTCTCCACCAGGGAGGAAAAACAAATTAATGCTGGAAGGCACTAATGGTGCAGGGTGGTGGGAGCTGTATCAGCCCCGGGGCAGGCGAGGAAGTGGCTTTATTCCTCTAAAGATCCTGAATCCTTCCATAAAACCAGCCCTGGCCTCCATACAACGAACAGCAGTACCGCAACCTGGTACATGCAAGGGGCTGCTTCATTCCCACTTTTCATGATTTTAGCAAACCATGAAATAGTTGTTTATTCCTAATATCCCTGCTGACGAGCTCAGTTTGCTTGCGAGTCTTTCACCAGAAAGCAAGTGAGAATGTTTTCCAATGTCTTGTCTCTAGGTCTCCCGGCCTTGGTAAACGCTCCGAAAACATAAAAGAGAATTTGTGTTATTTTTAAGGTGCTTTATGGTTTCTGAAGGCTTCCAGACAGTAGCAGAGGGCCTGTCCGCCTGGGACAGCGAAGCACAGGCACTGTGCTCCCGTCCAAAAGCGAGACAGCCCGGCACGTCTCCAGCACCGTCTTTTATTTACCCTCCTTTGAAATCTGCCCCTCGGGCAATAAAAAGATGCACCGAAACAAACAGGCTGTTGTCATCGCAGATGATCAGGTAGGGAAGGATGGTAGAAAAGGAACATGGATTCAGCTGTACGCCTGCAAAATCAGCGCGGGGAAGCGCCTTTGCTGTCTGTCTTGCTGTTTTTACTGTTGCTTCCTCGCCGCAAGGCAGGAGCGAGGGGTCGGGATGTTACCACGTCCACGAGAATGTGGAGGAAAACACTGGGAAGAGTTTGGCAGTGCTAAGCTGGGCCCAGTCTTGTTTAACTTCTTCATCAACGACCTGGATGAAGAGTTAGAATGTACCCTCAGCAAGTTTGCTGGTGACACCAAACTGGGAGGTGTGGTAGACACACCGGAAGGCTGTGCTGC